TACAATAATATTACATTAAACATTTATTCAGTTAAAAAAAAAATGATTTAGAAAATAAACATTTTAAATGTTAGGATATTCTAGACATTTTTACATTTTCTACTTGGTTAGAGGGGGGTTGAACTCCCTAAACCCTCCCCGTAGCTACGGCCCTGACCGTGTAACGATCGAAAAATAAAATTGCAATTGGGTAAAAAAAAAATAACCAATATAAATATGATAATACCACATAATTATTATAATASAATCAATAGTTTTTGGCATAAAGAGTAAATCTTAATGTTATCATAATATTATACGTTGGCGAAAATCTCGATTTGGATCGTTTGCTCGTTTGCATAATATGATATACATATAATAATCGATAAAATGTAGATCTATAGAGTTATATAGAATTCTAATATAAGAAGCTTCGTTAAAATGAACTTATATTTAATGTTTCCCGTTCATAATAGGTTCGTATAAACCGCTATACCAGATATCTCCTCACAGACACGACTGTATTTTTTATTATTTTATAATTCTCACGAAAATCAAAAAATGTTGCTCCTCTCGTCGGTCGACTCTCTCGCGCCCACAAATGGCACAAATTGCTGTATAGTTTTTTTTTTTCAACAATTAAAGCGCACAAGGCGGTTATCTTGTAGATTACTGTTGAATAAAACCCCCGTTTTGTTATATTATTTGCCACGGAGACACATAGGGAGAGACTTGCACTAAACACATAACATTATATTATATAATGTCATTCTGAATGCTGCGATTGTTCTCGTRGTATCGAACGCGTTCACCAGTCGTCAGTTATATACAGTTTTTACTATTTGTTATTAAATTAGAGATGAGAATATTGAAAGTTAAAAAACCAATCGTACAATAATGCGATATGATAATTGTTATATGGCTTTGTATATGTATATGTATATATGAAACGGCGACGAGAGAATTACAATATGTATATAATTAATAACAATATATTATAATCAACGCCCACGTACTTTTATTATGATAAATTGACTTTATGTACGCCGATGGTCGATCAATGACGACGATTGTGACGAGTATTGAATCGAATTCGTATATTACAACGAGCGGAAACGCGCCGACGACATTTTCTATATATTATTAATCTTATAATAAATGGTACAACAATAATATCATATTTGGGCTTWATCGTTTGGTCATCGTCGGCACAGTAGCAGCTGATTTTCGGACAGGGCAAAGGATATAATATCATACGGTGCTGCAGAGACACAGGTTAGAAATTGAGGTGGCCTGTATAGAGGCAGGGAATTAGCCCACCATAAAAATAACCCTTAAGCCCCAATGTAAACCAAAAATAAAAATATGGTCAGTCTAGTTTATTATACAAGCTGCTGACTGCAAATCTACTTTTCTATTGTTTCAGTTTAAATAGATAGYTATAATATAAACATTAAACACAATTTTAATGATTAATTTGGCGATTTTCCACTTAATAAAATCTGGACATATTTTTGGTGTTTAATCAAAAAAAACTGGAGATATTGAGTAGTGATCAACGAATATTTAAATGCCGGCGGTAATCCAACATCGTTAAAATATGTATTCGTCTTTGTATGTTAACATCAAAAATATGTCCAAAATTATGAAAACAAATCATAAAAGTAATAATTCTAAAAATGTTTTCATAACAATATTTGATTTAATATATATATTAAGAGAAATAAAATAAGAAAGAGAATATGATTTTTTTAAGCCAAAACTAAACTCGTATGTTACACACCCTATGGCTTGTAGAGACCTATAAAAAGGGTTTGAAAAAATAGGTTGTATACAACCTCAAAGACTCAGTTGTTAGTTATGTATTGATAAAACATTTTATCGAAAAAGGTTCACTATTTTTTGAGTATATAAATGACAAAAAAAAMMAAAWWAWWWTYMWTTT